TGTTCCGTGCGTCTCTAGATTTACCTCTTTAACGAATTCCTTTGTTATTGCTTGTTCATTGGGAATTAAAGGCTTATCGTTCTCTGGGTCTAGCATTGATCCTTGATCATGAATTACCTTCGAAGTTACTCGTACAGTTTGAAATCTTTAGGATATTATTTCAACTGAAAAGTTTCTAGATTAGGTCCCCATGTAAAACTTGATGATAATAAAATGATTCCGGGGGACAATAATGGTAGTTGTTTCTAGTGAATATCTGGAAAAGCATATCAATTTTCAGGGATCAATACTACTTTTAGGTATTGGTCTTGATTGTAGTAATTTCTCAGGCTCTTGAGGGAGTTTTCTTATTAATCAATGTGAATGAAAATTAAAACCAAGTGCAGTAACATAACGATTAAACTTAAACACAACTAATTACAACAGCTTATTAACTAATCAAAGAATAAAATAATGATGAGTTTTTATCCCCCTCAAGGAAATTCCCAGATGCTTGAGTTGGACCGCAGAAACAGCAAACGAGCACTTGGATGTGGCTTAGTGAATAGATAAGCATTTCTTGAGTAGTGGAAATTTGATGAAGTTCAATATCTTTACGAAGAACACGCTTGTGTATAAAGTAAAAATCTATTTCCACGTGCTTCCATCAACCATGGAAAATTGGGTTGTGAGCTAGTTGAAAAGCTGAGACATTATTTGCATTGGACTATATTGCAGTTAAGTGTGCTTTTCTATATATTGCAATTGTTGTGCTTTGAACCTGATTTACTGTTAAGTGTGCTTTTCTCTACAAAAACAATGGCCTTTAAGCATCGTTGTCATAAGTTATAGGCTTTAAACATAATTTTCTTTCTTGTTATCAGTATGTTGCAGACAGGAGAAGAGTCAATGCCTGATGATGAATCATATGATTTAGTAATCGGAATGCTGTTGTCAACAGATCAGATTGATGCTGCATTGAAATATATTGACTTGACTTTAAAATCAGGTCATATACTGTCGTTGAAAGTGTTCACTGAATGTGTGCGGAGCTGTGTTAAAAAAGGCAGGCTGGACACACTGGTGTCGGTAATTGATAGGTGCAAGGTAATAAACCAGTTCAATTAATGGCTAAGAAAAGAATTTTTGCTTGTTGCTTCATTACTTCTCCTGTTGGTGTAACAGGCAACTGTTCAGAATAAAGCTCTTTGCCCAACATGGAACTTGTGTAATTATATCGTTGAAGTAGCAACGCAAGAGGATAATAGTAAACTTGCTTATTATGCTCTAGAATTTATGGCCAGATGGATTGCTCGAGGTGAAAATGCGAGGTCTCCAGTTCATCTTTCAGTAGATGAAGGAATAGTTGTATCAGCTCTTGGAACTGCAGGTAGAACCTACAGCTCTTCTCTTTTAGATGCATCTTGGGCAATTCTAAAGCGCTCATTGGGACAAAAGAAGGTTCCAAATCCTGAATCTTACCTTGGAAAGATTTATGCTCTTGCATCATTTGGGAATCTGCAAAGGGCCTTTACTACCCTACGTGAATTTGAAGAGGCTTATAGGACTTCTGATGATGGAGCTGGTGAAGAAATGTTTTCTCCATTCACTTCTTTATATCCATTAGTTGTGGCATGCTCTAAGAAGGGTTTTGAGACCCTGGACACGGTATAACTTTCTACCCATAAAAATTAAGAATCTGCAATTTCCATGAGTAATGTAGTATAAAGTATAATATGGTACCTTGCATTTACAATATTCAAATGATTGATGCCTTCTGCTAAGTTCCTACCTATAACCAGGACATGAAGTGTTTCAATAAAAATTTAATCTTGTCAGTTCCTACAAATCTGGGGGATAGTTTTCTTTCAGTGCTATATATGGGCTCTCATCAAATTATAACGTTTGTTGTGGGAGGTCTAGAAGAATATTCACTATTACTATGATAAAAATCAACTGAGGCAAGTAGAGTGCAATTGTCTCTCTCACAGAACACGAACACAAAAGGTTATTTGATGCGTTTCATATTAGATTCATGGCATGCTTCTGTTGTTGAAACATGATAATCAGTGACTAATTAAGAAGTTCATGGTAGGTAAGTATTTTTATTTCTTTCCTCTAATTCATCGGAGTTTCCAATCTAATTTTCTCTCCTTTTTTAGGTTTATTTTCAACTGGAAAACTTGAGCCGTGCAGATCCTCCTTACAAGTCTGTTTCTGCATTGAATTGTGTGATTTTAGGCTGTGCAAATATATGGGACCTTGATCGTGCTTACCAAACGTTTGAAGAAATTGGTTCCAGTTTTGGTTTGACCCCTGATATCCATTCATACAATGCTCTGATATACGCATTTGGAAGGCTAAAGAAGGTCAGCCTTTAACCTTTTATACCACTCCCTTGTTCACACACAAACTCACGTGCAATTAGCTGCTGAAATTCCATGGACTGCTGATGGTTGGTGGCTGAAAAAACTAACATTTGACAAGTGTCATTTATGGGTTAGATTGCTGTGTTTTTTGTTGCGAGAGGGGTCTGAATGCGTAATTAAGCATTACGTGCTCTCTACTGCACACACTGCAGGGGTTCAATGCACAGTCAAATATTTCTTATGGATATCACACATATTTATTCACCATATAAACTGAAAATTTTGCTGACTTACTATGGTCACTTGACAGACATTTGCAGCTGCAAGGGTATTCGAACACTTGGTAGGTTTGGGCGTCAAACCAAATGCAAAATCTTATTCACTGCTTGTTGATGCTCATATCATTAACCGCAATCCCAAATCATCTCTCTCTGTGATCGATAACATGGTGAATTTTTCGTTTCAATTGACTTGTATTCATCTGTATATCCGTGTTCTTATCACGGTGGTGCTAATTACGTCACAAAACATTTTTGGAAGGTAACTGCTGGATTTGTACCTTCAAAAGAAATGCTGAAAAAGGTAAGGAGGCGATGTATGCGAGAGATGGATTACCCTAGTAACGATAAGGTGGATTACCTGGCCAAAAATTTCAAAATTCGAATGGGAACAGAGAATCGTAGGGATATACTGTTCAATCTGGACTACGGCACCAATTATGTTGCATAATAGGTAAACTTCTAAGCAGCAGCAATACTCGCAATCAAAATATAATCCAAACATGTTCATCATCTTAACTAAAAGCTCAAGAATGGTGTAGTTCATGGAAATTTTGAAGTTGATTAAATCTAGTTGATATTTTGCAGGCTTTCATTCCTACTTGGAAAATCTGAGCTGCGCTAATTGGTATGCCAAGCCTGCCAGCAGAGTTTTGCCTCTTCACAAAGATATGTCATTCTATATTTGTAAATTATTAGAGTCAACAAATTTCAACCTTGGCGGGATGAATGTTAGGATCATGCCCTTTTCACCATTTAGATTCATATATATTTGTTTGACGTCTTCCCAGAAAATTAGTGAACCAAAACTGAGTTCATTCATTTTGACTTTGATGAATAATATGTCCAACTGGAATTTTGCTGTATCTACCTCTTTCAGCAGTTTTTTTACCTTCTGTTTGAAATTTTTCGGGTACGGATACTCTTATTTATTGTCTGTCATATCAGCATCCGAGTTTACCCGTGTAAAAAAAAATTATGAAGATAGATCTTTAGTGTGGACATGAACAAGGAGAGTATTCAACTCTCATATTACTAGATTTTTTTTTTTTTTTCTGAATCAGTGGTGTCTGGCAGAGAATAAGATGGTTACAATTGTTTTTGTTTTTTCGGTAGTAAACGTGGTAAAGGTGAGGTTAGAGCTGGAAAATGGCAAGTGCTATCAGTTCTAGGAGTAATTTTGGTGTAAATGGTGACTTTTGTTACTAATGGAATGCTTTACGCCACAAATGCAGGCAGGCCATATTGTTATATGCTTCTCTGGTCTTATGTAGCTGGGGTATTGTTAGCTATTGTTAGCTATTGTAACTCGTTTGGTCATGTACGTATTGTTCATAATATCGGAACATTTTGTTCCATCTGGGTTCTCTTGAAGCATTGGACCCACACGTGTCCATGTCACATCATATACGGACTCTGTACCCAATATCAGGTGTATGATCTAACCTCCGACATATGAGCTAGGGTGCGATGTCGGCACACCCATGTCCGACACTATCCTTGAAAACCCCATCTCAAAAGTTGTTCGAGACACTTGTCTCGCAATGCTCGCCCCATTGTGATATATGTATGTGCTATAGGGTAGTTTGCTTTGGCTACAGGGCTCGGTGGTGGTGGAGAGTTGACATCATGCCGTTCTCATGATACATTTTGAGGCATTTTTAATTTGACAGGTGTAGATATGATTTTGGCGAACGAATATATGTTGTTGTGGAGCATCGTCCGGTATCCGATTGACACCAAATTTGGTGAGCTTTCATCTTTCATAAGGATGGACTTAACTTCAGAGCTGTATGCCCAAACTTCTTCTAAACCTAGACTTTCGAGGATAAGGCTCGGGACCCTACCCAACCCTTCATCAAGCCTATTTTTGTCTATCATGTCGATATCGTTGTCTCCGTCTCACTTGTGCCTCAATTTGGCTTCAAATGCACATTTCTTTGGTGTGTTAGATGTGCACCGTCCTCCTCGGTTGCATCATGACTCGCTTATCTTGGCCTTCAAATGGTTGAATAGGCGCCACTTGAGAGTCACCACTTTGCTTGTCTCGACGTGAGGGTTACAACTTGCTCTTTTCATAATATTTTAGAATAGGTTAATTAATTCAAATCAAAATGGAAATTTTTTTTTTTTATAAAAAATTAAATATAAATGAATATGAATTGAAATTATAACAATAAAATGTTGAATTATTAAAGAAACAGAAATATTATATAAATTCAATTGAAAATCGGAAGGTAATGTTTTGAATAATATATTATTTTGAAACATTAAAATAAATAGATTGTCTAAATATTTTTGGATATATATATATATATATATATATTTTTTTTTTTTCATAAATTTTATTGTAAAAAGAAAATAGGTTAAATTAACCCATTGGTCTGTTTGTTCATCTTAGTAGGAAACTCACCATCGACAGAAGGCGTAGCGCTAAATTCGAAGGCCATGGAAATTTTGATCTACAGTAGTTGAAACCTGACGGTGAGCTCTAATTGTTTGGAGGATTCTGCTTCTCTTTTCGGTCTGAGGTTCGAAAAATTTATTTTCTGCACTTCCGATCAGCTGTAGCTATTTAGTTTCAGGGCAATTCATTTGAATGATTTGAATTAGAGTCTAAGGCCTTCAAGCTTCGAATCACCTCACATGGATCGGAAAAATCCTCAATCAGAAGTGTTCTTGGAGGAATGGAATGGTTCTTCATTATCGGAGCTTCGGAAGACTGCCACCATAACTGTTTCTCCTTCCCTGTCCATCCAAAGGCAATGTTCTGATTCCCTTCCCATCTCAGATTCCACTCACCATTTTTGGAAATTTGCGATTGATATTTCCTCTTTCTTTTTTCAATCTATAGATCTGGTTCTCGTTTCAAAATCGTGGGGAGACGATTCTTTGACGCGTTTGTACCGGAGGCAAGCTTGTGTTTGGATTTCTTCGACTCTATGTAGTGTCCTTGATTTTTTTCTTTTTTTTTTTTATTTTCCTTTCTTATTATCAATCTTTCGTTCAATTGCAGGGGTTTCCTAGTAGTGTGACCCCCGATTATGTTCCTTTTCAAATATGGGACTCATTGCAGGTAAAAGTTTAATTTACTTGTTTCTCACCTGTTACATTTGGCAATCTTAATCACCATGAATATGAGTTGATGTAAATAATAAAATGCTTGTAAAGGATGAATTCAAGCAACAGTAGTTAGTTTTCTAGGATTTTACATCTTAAGAGTTTTCTTGACGACAAAATGTTGTAGGGTCAAGTAGCCTTGAGATTAGTTGAGATGTGTGCAAATTGGCAAAGATACTCATAGATTAAAAAAAAATCATTTGGCAATCTTATGTTTTGCGTAGTAACATTTTCCAGTGATAATAGTGAGCTATAGAGTTATGATTATCATTGTCTTTCAGGGTCTATCGACATACATTAGGACCATGCTCTCTACCCAAGTAAGGCCATTTTATTATATATATATATATATATTAACATGTGCAGTTCAGTTTCTTCTAAATTTAATATGCATTTACGCCAAATCTTTCCTAGGCTCTCCTGAGCGCCATTGGGGTCGGAGAGCAATCAGCAACTGTCATTGGTGCAACATTTCAGGTAAATTCAAAACTGAACTTTTGATAATTGGTCTCAAGTTTTTGTGGCTTGGAAGATAGATACCTGTAATGAATGTGCTGTTAGTTAATAAATTTCTCTTTCTTTTCTGTTGCAACTTTTACAGTGGTTTTTGAGGGATTTAACTGGAATGATTGGAGGTATCTTATTCACATTTTACCAGGTGTGCTGTTCTCTTCTGTAATCATAAATAAATCTATATCTGATTTACTTGCATAGTAATTTGCTGGAAAATTTGTTCCATAATAGCGTAAATAAAGGGGAAAGGGGTTTTGGATGCAGATACAATTTTATACTTAGTCTTCTCCTACTAAATTTTTTTGTAATCACAGCCTTTAAATGGTTATAAACAACTGGAAGGTTTTCTTTTGCTAGTTTTTTCGGGGAGGGGTAATCTCTACCCATTGCCCTTAGGTTGTCTCTTTTTTTTCCTTTTGATGAATACACACGTGTTTCCTATCGAAAAAGGAAAAAAAAAAAAAAAATAGTCTTCTCCTATCAAATTCAATATTTTGTTGTAATAATATTTATAGAATTCAAGACTTGTAGAGTTAGTCTAGAATTCTGTTCACCATTTTTATTATGAATCCTCTTTCTTGGTTATGATATAGCAACAACAATTGTCCATTTCAGGGATCAAATCTGGACAGCAATGCTAAAATGTGGCGCTTGGTTGCAGATTTCATGAATGATCTTGGTATGTGTATTTTCCCCCTTATTCCTTACTTAACCTGCAATAAGTTCTCTTTCTAGGACAAGTACATGCAGAAATGTGGGTATCTAGTGGATTAGACTTATCCATTTTCTTCTGATTTTTCCTTTATATCTTTTCCGTGGAGAGTTTCCATTGTAATGTAAATTATCATCTGCTTAAACCGTTGTTCATAGCTAAGCAAACTAACCTACAGCCATGGAATTGTTAAAGTAAATAGATCTCTAATTTTCGGAAAGGTTACTGCACTGAGCATTTTCACTTTTCCATGTTGCATTTTGAATTTTATGTCCTAAGATAACCAACGACTTTGTACTGAACAGGTATGTTGATGGACCTTGTTTCCCCCTTGTTTCCTTCAGCATTTATGCTCATCGTTTGCTTGGGGAGCCTGTCAAGATCATTCAGTAAGTCCTTACAGATTTTAGAAATTTTCATGTAAACATGGTATTGTCATGTAAATGTTGAGATTTTTCTAATGGTATCATGTGTCTACGTTGTTATAAATAATGTTATATTAGTTCAGTGAAAAAAACATTTTCAAATTGATATTTAGCTCACATTTCATCTTTAGTTCAGTGATGAATTTAAACTTTAAACTTTAAACATTTAATTTCATTTGAGTACACCATAAACTTCGATAAGTATTAAATTTGTAAACATTCGAAACCAAATAGAAAATTACCCTTTAATCAATCAATAAATCATGTAAAGTTCAACTAACAAAACACCAAAATGTTGACTCAAAAGGGACCAAGCCAATTCGAGAAACGCCCGATTGTTGCTAAAAAACATCCAATACAGTTTGAAGGACTAGTACCTAAAACATATAGCCAAAAAAACTTTAGAAAAATGGAACTCAAGAGGAAAGGAGGGTATTTTTGGTGGTTAGGGTGGTCATGTGCTGTAGACTTATGGATGATACTAATTCGTGTATTCAACAGAAAATAAGCATGCTGTTTGGACTTCATATTTTAATTAATTGGATGTAATCCTTGATGCTAACTATAGATTTCAATCCAAATCAGCCGGTGTGGCAAGTGGAGCTACTAGAGCTGCTTTAACACAACATTTTGCCCTTCAGAATAATGCTGCTGATATATCTGCCAAGGTATAGCGCAAGCCACTTTCCAGGTGAAGAATGATCTCTGATCCAGATATATTGTAATGACAATGTCACTCTTGCACCAATAGGAAGGAAGTCAAGAAACAGTAGCAACAATGGTAGGCATGGCGATTGGTATGCTTCTTGCTCGTATTACCATGGGATGCCCACTGGCCATCTGGCTTTCTTTTCTATCTCTCACGTTGTTCCATATGTACGGTGAGTTATTTGCTTGAACAAACCTTCGCTTTATAGTATATGTTGACATGACATTTAGTTTTTAAATTTCTGAATTGGTAAGAGTTCAAATTTTACACCATCATCTCTTATGAACACGTTGTTACTTTCCTTAATCAAATTTTCTTAATAGTATTTTAGGTTCTAAATGTTTATTCGTCTCCATAAAAAGAAATAAGATGGAAAATATATATTTATGTAGTCATGGTAGATTTCAAACGTGCCTTGGTAGGTCTGTCACAATTTTGTAAAATTCTGCTTGTGAATTTGTGCAGCAAATTACAAGGCTGTTTGCTGCCTTTCCTTGACTTCACTCAACCCTCAGAGGTGTTCAATTGCTTTGCAGCATTTTATTCAGACTGGCCAAGGTGATGCCCGATGTCTTTATTCTTTCCTGTTGTTACTGATCATGATTCATTTCCTGGATGGTTCAGGGCTATTTGTACGTATGTACACTGTAAATTCCATTCACACGCGTTAATATGTGACTATGCGACAAAATTATTTTAAAATCTACCTCTTTCTGCGATAAATAAAAATTTGCTGCTCTCTAATCTCTTTGTTTAAAGAAAATTTACCATGCGACTGAACCTGCATTCAGTTCTCTCTCCTCAACAGGTTTCTAAGATGGAGCATGTTTTACCCACATGGGTTTCTTCATGGAGTTTAAGGAGTATTAAGTTAATCCATACACGTGTAAGATTAGGAGAGAGGATCTCTTCACTAAGTCACTCAGAAATGTGAGTTTTTACATACCAGCTTTTTGACTTGCTTGCCCTTTCTTTTTCTTTTCTTATTATTTAGATAAGAAAAAGACGTTCATTTGACAAATAAATGACAAAGGAGCAGGTTAAGCCAAAGTGTTATAAAAAAGGTTTTCAAATGGACAAGTTTTGGATGCAATAATTATAAGACTCAATATTGAAAGAACTCCCAAGAGTTTAAAATGATGGCACATGTGGAAGCGAAAATAGAAGTGGTTGTAAATGTACTATTATTTACAATAAAAAAAAAAAAAAGAAAAAAAAAAAAAGCTACACGATACTCTTTAAATAGATCTATCAAATATGATTTACCATTAGGATTTAGGCAATATAGTATATCCGTTGCAAGTGTCAAGAAATTTACTTTTATTTAAAGAACACATGCGATTTGAAGACTAAATTTTGTCTGGTTATCTGTCAGTCTTTTTTTTTTTTTTTTTCTCCCATAGTTCATAAAACTGATATATGGCTAATAACATTATTTTGGTATAGGAAGGAGCTGTTGCAGTTGGCAGGTGCCAATAGTAACAAAGGTTGGAGTACTTTGAAATATTTTCCGAAAGATAGGTTTGAGCTGTATTTTATAACTCCATCTGATCATATGTTATTCGTTTGCCAGTGAAGTACCTTCTAATGGAGAGGAAGGCAATTATCCGTGTTATTGTGCGAAAAGATGCAACTGCTCATGACATCTTCCAATCATTCTTTCATGCACTTGTTACGGCTTATGTTCCTGATCAGGCATCTAGGCATTTGGAAAGCCTGTCGTGGATGGACAAACATTATGAAGATTTTATTCAAAAGGTTTTTTTTTTTTTTTTCTCTCTCTTTAATGTTTCTGAACTTCATTAAGTTGCAAATTTTCTCTTCCTTTCTTCTTTTCTTAGCCTTTTCTTTTTGGTTATAAAAAATGGTAAATTTTCATTATTTTTTTGAGAAAATGATACGAAAAACTTCCTCAAAAGTTACTCTCAAAAAACTACTTCAACAAGACTGCAAGAATTAATAACAGAAGGGTAGAAATTTAGCAAATGGCCCAAATCTAATCTTAATCTCTTCTCTTCTCGATATAATTTATAAGGTTTCCTTTCATCGAACTCCCTGTAGGCAGCGTTTTGTTTTACTCCCACAACATTTGCCTTTTCCCGGTGGTTCAACCGTTCAACTGTTCTCCCAATTAGCGGAGTATATACATAAAGCCTGTTTAAATTTAAACCTCCAGCCAAAGGCTGAAGTGACGGAGAAAAAGGAGTTGATCCACAATGATATGGTATTGTCCACTTTGAGCATAAGCTCTCGAAGCTTTGCTTTAGGCTTCCCCTAATGGTCTCGTACCAATGGAGATGTATTTTAACTCCTTTTGTTAGGAATCACAATGATATGGTATTGTCTACTTTGAGCATAAGCTCTCATGGTCTTGCTTTAGGCTTCCCCAAAAGGTCTCGTACCAATGGAGATGTATTTCTTACTTATAAACTCATGATCAACCCCTTAATTAGCTGATGTGAGACTCCTCTTCCAACAATCCTCAACATCTTTTAATCATTATTCACATATAGAGGACACTAGTCTGGAAGCAAAACCATCTAGAGCAGAACCGTTCTTGAACGGTACCTACTTTTGCTCCTACCATCCATAGCCTAAAAAAGAGAGAGAGTGATAGAGAGAGAATGTCTGCCCGTTCAGAATTCCAGATACATGGATGCATGAATTGCATTGTAGGAAGATATTACTTGCCAACACCTCACGTATGGGAAAAATCATGCTTTTTTTTTTTAAGCTTGCTATAGTTATCTGTAAATTGGAATAGAGTTGAACTATATGCCTTGGAATTCTGTACGTTCTTTCATATAGAGTACAATTCTCAGCCACATGTGATGATATTTTCGTTACTTTACATTCGGTATATTTATAATTTTCATTGCATTTACACCATTCAATTACCTTTTAGCTGAAGCTATCGGGCTGGAAGACAGATCGTCTACTATCTCCGTCAGTTTGTTGGAGAGCCAACTGGGTCTGCAGTCCCAGAGATGAGAAAATTGACTAAACCTCAGTGGTCACTAACCATAAAAGAGCAGCACATGGAGGTACCCACTAATATAAACTTCTTTCAAATTCAGCCACACTCAGTGGCATATTCACAATACTGGTTGATACTCCCTGCTTGTGAATGGTGCAAATCTGAAAAGTATTGTCAATATGCTGTTTATGCCCTTATAGTTTTTAATGAAACTTATAAACAGAACTCATTTGATTATGCTTTCTGATATTCTGCCACTGGATTCATTCTGACCTTATAGTTTTTAATCAACCCTATGAACAACACTCATTTGATTATGATATTCTGCCACTGGATTCATTCTGACCTTGTAGTTTTTAATCAACCCTATGAACAACACTCATTTGATTATGATATTTTACCACTGGATTCATTCCGACCTTATAGTTTTTAATGAACCTTATGAACAACACTCATTTGATTATGCTTTCTGATATTTTGTCACTGGATTCATTCTGACCTTATAGTTTATAATGAACCTTGTGAACAACACTCATTTGGTTATGCTTTCTGATATTCTGCGACTGGATTCATTCTGACCTTATAGTTTTCAATCAACCCTATGAACATCACTCATTTGATTATGATATTCTATCACTGGATTCATTCTGACCTTGTAGTTTATAATGAATCTTGTGAACAGCACTCATTTGATTATGCTTTCTGATATTCTGCCACTGGATTCATTCTGACCTTATAGTTTTTAATCAACCCTATGAACAGCACTCATTTGATTATGATGATATTCTGCCACTAGATTCATTCTGACCTTATAGTTTTTAATGAACCTTATGAACAGCACCCATTTGATTACGCTTTCTGATATTCTGCCACTGGTCGTTTCTTTTTTTTGTAAAACTTGGCTGCAAACTTTTGAAAAGTATGCATTAATTCTTGCAATTATGCATTTAAGCTTGCAGTTAAATATAAAACAGGTTAGGAGCTCTCTCTAAGAAGAAAAACTCGTTCAAAGTGCTGGGGGCAGTCTCAAGAGCTGATCAATATTCCTACAGAAAATCACGCTTACATTTATGCTCAATCCTGTAGTATTAGAAAACCATGACCAATTTTTATATTCAAGAGTGGCTATCTTTTCCATTTTTACTCATTTCTTTTCGAGTCTACAGCTTGAAACGTACCGATATTGTTGAACTATACTCATATTAGCCATAAATCAAATCTTTATGCATCATAATAATTTGTGTTATTGTTCATTTTTAACCTAAGTTTTAAATAATTCAAACTTTATTAGGAAGACTTTAGGCTCAATTCATATTACTCTTAATTTATAACCACGATCCTCTCGGTCTTTGGTACAACCCACGTCAACAATGTGACCTAGTATTTATTTATTTTTTACTCTAATTTGAATGTAAGAAACATTCGATAAAATTGAAAAGATTTAAGATAACAAAAAGCTAAACTTAAAATTTTTTAAAATTTACAATTTTTGTGATATTAACTCAATTTCAATATCTAGCCGACCTATACATAGCTCAATAGATTAATGTATATTCTCGGGCTTTTTTTCTCTAGTGAAAGAGTATTAAACAATTCGTCACATCATCGTGATCCCACTTTTAACTCATCAATTATTATACGATGTCTCAATTTTACATATTAAATTCCAAAACAAATTTCATATATCATTTTAATGAAAAAACTCACAAAATGTTATATATTTTTTAAAACAATTTCAAAGCTAAAAGGGTTAAAATAAATTTTAGAGATATGGATATATTCAAATTCTTGTAGGGTATTTTGTATAATTTATGGTAAATGAAAAATAAAATAAATAAAGGAAATTAAAATTAGAATAAAAAAAATCAAATTAGGAAAAGAGAGGAGGGGAGAAAAGTTGATTTGATCCACAAATTTGGAAATTAAAAATAAAAAAATAAATAACTGAAAAAAAATGGAATTGAAAGGGCATACCGCCAACTTCGCGGTTTTCCCTTTGCTACAGCCACAACCAAAACTCTCAAACTAATCCAACGGTTCAGATTCAGTCTTCTTCCTTCTCTGTCCTCCATTGCCAAAACCTCCATTTTCTCCCGCACCTTAACTTCCCCTTCCCCTCCTCCCTCTCTTCCTCTCTCTATTCTCTTCTTCTTCCCATTGTCTCTGCTTCTCTCTGTTGTTTTTCGCATTTTTTGTTCCGTTCTTTTCCGCTCTCTCAAACCATGTCTTCCGCCGAGAAGGAGAGAGAAACTCAGGTCTACATGGCCAAGCTTGCTGAGCAGGCCGAGCGCTATGACGGTACGCTCCATCACTTTGTGCTTCTTCTTTCTTGTTTCTCTGATTTTTGTTGTTTTGTTATTTTCCTTCCATTGAGGTGCGATTTTATGATGATATTGTTAATGATCTGTTGTTTTGTTCCGGATTATGATCTGTGTTGGCAAGTGTGGATGACGGGAGGTTGTTGATCTTGTTTTCTGGATTCTTTGTTTTGCTGGCGAGTTTTTTTTTTTTTGGCTTTTGGCTTTTGGCTTTTGGCGTTGCTTCTCATATCGAATTTGTAGTTGAAATGCTGATTCATTTCTACCTCTTTCTTGCGTTTGAGAAATGGAAAGTTATCAATTACTGGATCTTACTGTAGCCTTCGCGATCGCTGTGTTAGATGCTTGATATTAGCTTAATGCCTCGTAGTTTTCTTGAATAATTGGAGGATGTTTCCATGTCTGTGAGGTGAAAGCTTTTCTTTACGGAGTTTGATCGATCCAATGATGCAGAAATGGTTGAGTATATGAAGAATATTGCAAAGCTTGACCTCGAACTAACTGTAGAGGAGAGGAACCTTCTTTCTGTGGGGTACAAAAATGTGATTGGTGCACGACGAGCCTCTTGGCGCATCATGTCTTCAATTGAGCAGAAAGAGGAGTCTAAGGGGAATGAGAACATTGTAAAATTGATAAAGAGTTACCGCCAGAAAGTCGAGGAGGAACTTTCAAAGATTTGTGGTGATATTCTCTCTATCATAGACAAGCATCTAATCCCTCATTCGTCTGCTGCAGAAGCCACTGTCTTCTACTACAAGATGTGAGTTGTTTTGTTACAACCAATCTCAATTTTGATGATCTGCTTACCTTTCTTCATTGGATAAGTAATTTATATATTTGAAATCTGGGAAGAAACAAAGAAAGGCTTGTTCTTATAATTCTAATCCAAATGGTGCAGATCTTTTACTGATGAACTTCTGTTTTCTGTGTTTCGTTTTTGAATATTGGTGACCTTTGATTCCTCCCAGTACACCATGCATAGACTCCACACGTCTCAATGTTAGGGATCTATGTTCTATTCATTCTCAAAATCTATCAGATAGGCTATAGATAGGTTGATAATGAATATGGCTTGATCTAGTTTTTTTTGCTTGTTCATCATTTTTCTATAGCATGTCTGTTTTGAACAATTGGGTCATAATGTGCTTTAGCCAATTTGAGTATATGCTGTAGTTACTGTCATGGCATCCATGATTTCAGGAAAGGTGATTACTATCGTTATCTTGCTGAGTTCAAGACAGATCAAGATAGAAAAGAGGCTGCTGATCAGTCGTTGAAGGGATATGAGGCATTTGTTTTCTTTACATCATTCAAGTTTCACATTAGAAATACATAAGAACAATGGTTTAATATCTTTTAGCCTACTCTTCAATTATTTGAGGTCCTATTGCCATTTTTGTAACAGGCTGCCTCAGGCACTGCGAATACCGAACTCCCATCGACCCACCCAATCCGTCTTGGTCTTGCTCTCAACTTTTCTGTCTTCTACTATGAGATTATGAATTCTCCTGAGAGGTATTATTAAGCCTAGTTTTCAATTCTCATACCACCATTGTTAGTAAACATTTACCCTTGTAATGTAATGCCATTTTTTTTTTTGTTTTTGTTTTGCAGAGCTTGCCATTTGGCTAAACAAGCTTTTGATGAGGCAATTGCAGAGTTGGATACCTTGAGTGAGGAATCATACAAGGACAGCACTCTGATCATGCAGCTGTTGAGAGACAACCTCACACTCTGGACCTCAGATTTGCCTGAAGATGGCGGTATATCTCATAATTTATACTCAAGAACGTCTTATTGCATGTCCATTTACATAATCATATACCTCAGAATCTACCATCACCACTTAAATGACCCGCCTTGTTTGATAATGATTTCATTTTTAGTTTAATCTTTTCGAAATTTATGTTAGGTTCCTCTCAATTTTCTTACTGTAGTTTTTATGCTTGGTTCCTCCTGATTTTGGTTTTCTAAACCGTATTTAAATTTCTAGACAAGTTCCAAAAACAAAAACAAGTTTTTAAAAACGATAAACATTTGTAGAAAGTGGATACAAAACAAAGAACTTATAGTATTTATAAACTCAATTTTCAAAAATCAAATATTTATCGAAGAACGCTGAACTTTTACTTCTCGTTCTCACATATACTTTTACTTCTCGTTCTCACATATACTTTTACTTCTCGTTCTCACATATACTTTTACTTCTCGTTCTCACATATACTTGTGCTTCTCGTTCTCACATATACTTGTGCTTCTCGTTCTCACATATACTTGTGCTTCTCGTTCTCACATATTTACCGATATATGAACCAACTGATTGATCAGGTGAGGAAAACTTCAAAGCTGAGGACTCCAAACCTGTTGAGCCGGAGGTAAGATAAATTCAAGCCCTCTTCCTTTTCAATCTCAAATTCATGATAATATGAGCTTTAAAGTAAGTGATTGATGAGTAGGCCGCCCAGCAAGCGAAATGAGAGAGCGAGCCCCTCCGCAGCTCATCTAGAGACCGGACTTCTTGCCCTAAGAGAATCTAAAGATAGCCCTTCTACAGTGTTGTGGGATTTGTGGAGTGCACGATAAAATTTACTTGCGGCGTTTTGAACCATTTGGTCCAACAACTAAAAGCTAGCTAGAAGGAAAGCTGGAGTTTTTTGTTTGCCAAGCTTTTGTTTCAAATTTAAATTCATCTCTTTCCACTCGTTTCATGTTTTTGCTCATTCCTATAACTAAGTGTAGCTTTGAATCATAACATCATATCTATTTTATTACTATTATTATTATTATTGTTATTGTTTTTATTTTTATTGTTTGTAATACACTTTTATGATGGTATCCATACAATATATCCTCAAAATTATTTCTTTTCTTCATTTTACTTCTAATCCCATATTTATTAAAAATAATTGAATCAAATCAAAATTGGATTGGAAATCAATCTCTTATCTACATGTTTGTGACGAAAGCGCGGGGATCGAACTTGGCTCACCCGTGTGATAGGCAAAAATGTTCACCACTGTACTACAACAACATTGTTGTGAAGGGAAAATCTCTAATCTACATGTTTGTGTCCAAAGCATTTTCAGTGGATGAAATGAAAAGTAAAATGCAGTTGCCGAGGATTGAACCTGGGTCTGAGTCACCCACATGACAGGCGGGAATACTCACCACTATACTACGACATTGTGTTGAAGGAAAAATCTAGATACTCGTCTTGTAAAAATAATTGAATGGAAAATCTCTAATCTACATGTTTGTGTCCAAAACATTTTCAGTGGATGAAATGAAAAGTAAAACGCCGTTGCCGGGAATCGAACCCGGGTCACTCGCGTGACAGGCAGGAATACTCACCACTATACTACAACGACATTGTGTTGAAGGGAAAATCTAGATACTCGTCTCGTAAAGATAATTGAATCAATCAAAATTTTATTGAAAAATCTCTCAACTACATGTTTGTGTCAAGCATTTTCAGTGAATGAAATGAAAAGTAAAACGCCGTTGCTGGAGATCAGGCAAGAATACTCACCACTACTATAACGACATTGTTGTGAAGTGGGAAGATCTAGATACTCGTCTCGTAAAGATAATTGAACCAATCAAAATTTTATTGAAAAATCTCTCAACTACATGTTTGTGTCCAAAGCATTTTCTAGAGCACCATTGCCGGGGATCGAACCTGGTGACAGGCGAGAATAAAGCAGGCAATAAACTCCCCATTTTTCTGCTGTTTAATTTAAGAAAAGTTTGAAGAATTTTATGAGTAGCCATAGAGCACAGTGAAAGAGAAAGTAATGCATTTCATGTAAGAAAGATCCTTGACAGACAGACAGCTTCACAACAGCTTTTCATGAATCCAAAATAAAAATTGATTGAATAAAACCCCAACACAAACACAGCAGAAACCACAAGCATCTACACATTGTAAAGCATATCGTCCTGCCATAGTATCATTTCAGATGGAAAAAACATTGCCCCTTCAACATCATATAAAAATTCACATAATATGGATAGTCTTCAAATAGCTCTATTCAGTTATGATTTTTGCAGGTTTCATTTTCCACCAGCACCACCAAACAGGTAATCCAGAGAAGATCCACCGCCCGGGGCAGCATGGACCTTGGTTGATGGTCGATCCTGCACCCACAAGCAAAACTAATCAATCACTATAATCCCCTTTTTGTTATATCAGATCAAGGTAACAAAGCTTGGTTCCTCATGGTGCCATTTTCGCAAAAGATTAGTTACAGTCCTCATTTGCGCCTGTCGATCAGGTGCTTTAGGATAATTATTCCTCGGTGGAGTTATAAGACCTCATATATGTAAACACGTTAAAGAGATGTGAACATCTTTGATTACAAGTCACAGAGATAAGTCACTGCTATGAGGGCCAATGTCTTCAACAATTCAAAGATGGGATAGGAAAGTGGAAAATTTGAAACAGACAAGATAAATAGATGCTATTTGGGGGCAGGGGGCGGGGGTGGATTTGATGTAGTCATGTAAAAGTGGAACAAAATTACTTCTCTGGAGTCTGGAAATGATCAAAAACATGCTAGCAGTCAAATTAGGCTAGATAAATTGCTGAATAATCGTAATTGGCCATACCGTTATGAAATTGCCAGTGTTCTGACCGTCAGCCCTCAAATAGTTGTTTGAGGAGCTACTATGAATACCAGCCGGAATCTGCTTGGTAGCATCTGCAGGTGGTGAAGCAGTAGCAGCTGGTTTGGACGCTGCTGGCTTGGATACAGCCTTTCCTTCGTTTGAAGGTGGTGCTTGGCCACCTTTAGGTGCACCTGCATTGGGAGCTTCTCCACTGCCAAACAGGTACCCCAGTGAGCTCTGCCCCCCACCACTGCTAACTCCACGGCCCATGGCTCTTCGATTTCTTTCAAATGTCACAACTCAGAAGCTTGCCTTTCAACCAGAAGAAACGGAAAAAGGATAATAACAAAGGTCAGAACATAAATGGGCGAAAATCCATGGCAGAAGGATGTCAAAAGCCTGCTTACAACTCCATATATTGCATATATTCTTATTGAGTATCAAAAGAAAATTTTAAATCTCGAATTAAAATGTAAGAAACCAAGCTTCTGCTGTAACAAAACATCAAACTTAATATTTGAGCACCATACTTTCAGGTTAATCGTTCCTCCGTTGTAACTGTTTGAGGATTTTTCTAACTTCAATATGTAACAACTTATAATTTCAACAGTTAGCTTTGAGCTGAGAATAATTCTCTTATACAAGTGAAATAACATACATATATAATCTTTTTGGAAAAATTAGCCACCTAACCTATTTCTGAGGTAAGGATTGTCGTCTAAATAAATAAACCCCAACCTAAATAAAGAAGATACTAACAAGACCCAGGTTGCACAATTAATAGAAAGTTGAAAAGTTATCCTGTTCTAGAGAGATAAGGTTAAGAGCAATAGATCTCCAAATTAAATGTTGATCCTAGTCAGTGTAATAGGTCGAGTTGATACTAATGCAACCAAAACATTAAAATGCGGATCGTAAGACATGAAGCCATTAGCTACACTTCCAAAACACGACTACCATTTGTTAGTCTACTACAGTGATTATTCTATTAATTGACGAAGACTTGCACAGGAACGCAAGAGGAATATTCCAGCTGACATCTACCCTAAAAACCCAACTCAAAATCTGATACATTTCGCGTAAAAGTAAGAAACAGTTAAAATGTAGACATATTCCGTAGATCCTGTAATAACCTTTGGAAACATCAAGAAACAACACAAGCACGCTCATGAATTAACAAAATCAAACGTGTCAGACTAACTGTTTAGCAATAATGCATAACCAAGATCTGATAATTGCAGCAATCGAGAGGTAGAGAGTGAGGCGAACAGAACTAGGGGAAATTCCCAACCGACAAACACCACAATACCTCGATCTCAAATTAAAAGCAAAGAGAACAGTTCTAAATCCAGAGAACCAACCAGATCTAGACAAGGAATGCAAGAGAAACTCAATAAAAAAAAATCACACATCGCTAAGTAATCAAGCATAAGCACGCCAAAACAATCACGCATTGAGATAAAATCCTTGGTTCAATGACAACGGAAATCATGAATTCGGAAACTGAAATGCGCGATGAGAAAGCACAAATCTGAAGGTAGAAGAGAAGATCTAAGACGAAGGCTTTGAATTCAGTGCAAACCTTCCGGCGACGATCGGATCTGAGGCGAACTTCAGAGTTCAGAGGGAACGAAGAGATGAATGGGCTGGTGTACTCGTACCTTGCACGCAGTCTGGAAGATACTCGTGAAATTATTTATTTATTACACGAAGAATTTTTAAATTAATAAATTACTAAAATAAAAAATACTCGCTATTTTCCACTTCAATATTATTATTATTATTTTTTTTTAAGTTTTAACTATTTTAATATTTTTTCTTCCCTCGAATATAATATAATATTTTTTTAAAAAAATTATCATTAGCAAAATGAGGTCAGAGAAAACGTTCATAATTTATTTAATAAAGATAAATAAACTAAATATAATATTTAGCTGGAAATAATTTTCTATAAATTTGTATTATAGAAAGAAAAATAGTATCAATGTCTCTGCCACTCAAGTTAGAATCAAGTTTGCTTATATAAAACGTTTTTTAGTAACAAAAAAACATGTCGTATCTCTAGTGTCCTTAGGTCGAGCCATGATTGAAGTGACTACTTAATCACGGTATTAACGAACCCAAGACTTAGCTTTGAGAGACCTCAAATGTACCAAAACTCGAGACTCGTTCATATTATGTAAAAAACCTACTAATGATGACCTCAACACATTTTTCACTATAATTAATCGTTATGGTCGATTATAAGAGTGCTTCCTTCGTATCATATAAGAGCTTAACACTAGGGTTTAAAACAATCTCAACTTCGACCACCTAAATTACGAACTTTTAAACTAGCTGTTCACATGGGTCAGCCGAGTTTGACCTCATTTAATCCATCGGGTCTTTCGATCACCCCTAATGAAGACGACATGAATCTTTTAAAAGTAATTTTGAAACATTTAAATCAAAATAGTTTGGAATATAACAGCAAACAATCTTCTAAGCTTGAAATTATACCGAAAGGGAAAAGGATTAGCAAAAGACTCATCAAAACAACCGCATCCCAAATGTGTTTCCCTGGTTCCTTACAAAGCCTACTTCTGAGCAGGGCCACCAGGGTTGAGCTCGTCCCAGGCTTCAATCCAAGTGACCATTGATTCCGAGAGCTTAATGAAGTAAGGATCAATGGGGCCGAGTTTCTCCTTCACTAGCTTCGACAACTCGACGTAGCATTTCTGAACCGTCGTGCAATCTTTCGGGAGAACGACTGACTGGAAGAACGGGATCAGGTCTTCTTGCCAGAAGATCCCTTTGTACTCCTTTTTGAGGTTCACAAATGGGTTGCTGGCTTTGCTGTGCCATATGTAAGGCAGCCCTGTCTTCACTCCCCACCCCAAATGGTCACAAATCACCTGCAACAAGTTCATCAACCAATACTTTAGCTCTGCATTTGGCTAAAGATCACAGAAAAGGATCACATTTTGGCTATACCTTCACACACCACCCGGCCCACATATCGTCGTAACGTCCAATCGGCTGGCCATCACCCATGAGTCCGAAATACATAGCTGGTCCGATCAGTTCACGGTTGAATGCGAGATTCATTCCACACATGGGAAACAAGGCTCCCTTGGGAATTGTCAAGACTGCATCCACATACCTAAACAAGATATATAACGAACATCTCAACAAGGCTAATGACTATGGAACTTCTCTATGTTCGAGTAAACTAATCGAAACACGATAGCAATCCACACACACCTAGAGTTCCTTTCACGAGGCTTAACGAGCTGGGTAGGAGCATCATAGTCAGGAATGTTAAGCCAAAGTCCATGAGAAACCGCGGTCGGGACACCCTCGCGGAGACTGAAAGGGTATCCACGGACAAAGTCTGCACCTTCTCTGTATGGATCATACAGAGTATTGAAGAAATGTGGAGTGGCTGGTGATAGAAGGTTCTTTATGTGCTGCTCGAGTGCGTTGATATCTTTGTTCGAGGGGTCCTTCGCAACCTGCAATGGCAGATTTACAAGAAACCATCAAATCTTGATCATAGTTTAACCCTATAGATCAAGACAGTGAAGCAGAATATGTTTGTACACAAATCGCTTCTTTCCCATTTTCTCAGTTTACACCATATGTAAACCAGACGGCTGTAGAAGACCAAATCATCCACTAAATAACCATTAAATTTATTCTTCCTAATATCATTAACCAGAACTGACCGGAACAAAGAGGGTCTTTCAAACTTCCTCAAGGTTTTTAAAACGTCTATTTGGAAGAGGTTTCCTCACTCTTATAAAGAATGCTGTGTTCTCCTACTCAACCGATGTGGGATCTCACAATCCACCCTCGTTCTCCTCCCCAACCGATGTGGGATCTCACAATCCACCCTCGTTCTCCTCCCCAACCGATGTGGGATCTCACAATCCACCCTCGTTCTCCTCCCCAACCGATGTGGGATCTCACAATCCACCTCCCTTTGGGGTCCAGGGTATTTGTTGGCACTCGTTCCCTTCTCCAATCAATGTGGGACCCTCCAATCCACTCCCCTTTGAGGCCCAACATCCTTGCTGGCACTCCACCTCATGTCCACCTCCTTCCGGGCTCAACCTTCTCACCAGTGTCTAGTCTAGCTCTGATACCATTTGTAATAGCTCAAACCCACCGCTAGCAGATATTGTTCTCTTTAGGTTTTTTCTCAAAGTTTCTAGAACACATATGCTAGGGAGAGTTTTCAACACACTCATAAAGAATGCATCGTTGTCCTCCTCAACCGATGTGGGATATCATTGGGGACTCATTCAAAGAAAGCAACAGTTATCTATATAACAAAAGAACTGTTTCAAACAAACAAGCATTTCCACAAGATCTGTTCGTCCGCTAGCATATATAAATCCAATAACTATTCATAACTTGCAAGACAGAGGATGGAATTGACCACGGAAGCGATCAATCGTTAAGGTGTTCTATCTAGAAAACTAATAGCATAATCTTTAAGAAGAACGAAAAGAAAAACCAGCATTGATCCTTTTCAAACAGCAACCAGATGAAGAACTCAGAACAACAAAATCAATCAGAAGAAGAAAAAAAAACCAAGCTAAAAAACAATTTCAGCCCAAAAAAACGAACAAACAAGCAGATCTGCAAAACACTAGGCATCCGATCAACACAGAGAACACGTAATCGAAGAAATCAAGCAAACCAGAAGTCAAAAACGAAAGCGAACAAGCAAAATCAAGTAGATCTTACAAAGCAATCATCATCAATTGTGAAGATGTACTTCTTCTTGGAGACCATATAGCCGAAGCATCGGCAAGCAGAATCCTTAAAGGAAATGCAAGATGCCTTCGGACCAAGAATCCGATTAATATCATTCCGATTGTAGAGTTCATAATCGAATCCTTCAGGAACCTTAATCGTCTTCGATGGGTCACCATCTTGAACGATGATCAAATGGTATTGCTCAAAAAAGGGCCTCCACATCTCCAAAAAATCCAGGTTTCGAATCGTAGGGATGACGATATCGAGTTCATCTTTCAGAAGGGGAGTGGGTTTGACCGAAGCTTCCGCCATTGTTAACCAATTGACAGAGTTGCAGAAGCTTCAATCAGAGAAATAAGGACTCGGGTTAGACTTGGAGCGAAGATACTGGAGACGACGATTATATATATATATATATATATATATACAGAACAAATGGGAATTTGTTCGGAGTAAATCTGAGATTCTTCATGGGGCATTTGGTCAATTGGACTTCCGGATCTGGATTTGTCAAATTTATTAATTTATTAATTATTTATTTTCAATCATAATAATTAAACCAAAAATAATTAAATTGGGACATAAGAGTGGAGTTACGTTATTTCCATTTAAATATAAGTTTGTTCAAAAATGCATTTAAATAGAAATTTGTTCAAAAATGGATTTAATGCTTTAAATAGTAATGTATAATTCGTAAATAAAATATTAATTATTATTTTTAAACATCCATATTTTAATTTCTCATTTATGTCAGGATTATTTAATGAATATAATTTTAGTCTGAAATTTCAAAAAATCAACAATTTAAATTTTTATATTGTTCGTGAAAGTTGGACACGACTTAATTAGTTAATATATTAATTATCAATTTAATGTTATATATTAAAAATGGATCTGATTATTATTATTTTTTTTTATAAATATATATATCATAGCTGGTACTAAGGTCTTATATAGTTGACCAAAATAGCTATTGAGACAACTACTGAGGAATTAAAATTATTATTATTAATTTAAATATGAAGAAACGTGCAAATTCAAAGACCAAAATGGAGAAAATAACAATAATAAAATTTATAATGGAAATGACGTAAAGAAATGGGTGTGTCGAAGTCAACTATGTTGACTATTCGAAGACATTTAAAACTGCCATAATAAATAATTTTTAAAAAAATTAAAAAAGAAGAAAGAAACAGCTAATTACCCATGTGCCCTTCGAGGCACCAACTTTCCTTTTTCCAAAAATGCCCTTCCCCAATCCCAAAATTACCAATATGCCCCTCCGCCCTTTTCTTTATTCATTTAATTATATTTCACATTTGTTTTTATTGATTGTAATTATAAATTTAAAGTATAAAAGATGTGTAATTTAAGGTAATATTAATTATATTGTGAATTTTTAATCTAATATGTTTTTTTTTTTAATTATATAATTTTTAAAATGAAACTCTTTCTAGTGAGACATGGTTAATTTACACTTTAAATCTCGAGAAAAAGAGTACATGTTAATTATCGTTGAGTTATGCTCATGTTGCATCCTAAATTTTAAATCCCGACATAAAAAATACAGCAAAAGTATCCATTATTTTAGGTAACTATATAAAATACCCATTAACTTTTCATAATTAATTGTATTATTGAATTTTTTTAAAAAAAATTCAATGATGAATTAAAAAAAAAGTATTAATATTATATTAGAAGTTTGAGGAATATAATATTTTCAGGAAAAAAAAAAAGAGAAAATTCTACCCATTAGGAAAGTTTAAATTGGGCCAGTTTCCAGATTCGGCCCAATGAGGCTACCATTATGGGCCAGCGAAGGAATGGATAAGGCCCTAAAGCCCACCAAAAAGCTTGATATTTCGGGAGCGAGTCGTTGAGAAAAACACCCTCCGAAGCCGAACCACCCGCAGCGGCAATTAGTCGACAATTGTCAAAAGGGATCGATGCCGAGCATTTCGGCCCTCTATTCCATTGAAGAAATCTCACGGCACAGTTCCAACGACGACTGTTGGATCATTATCGATGGCAAGGTACGTCCCTGATAGTATTCATGGCCTTATTTAATTTTCTTTCACAAATTGCTGTTCCGTTCGTCGGCCTTACAGTATTCTCTTCATGTATGTGCTTCGCCATATGATTCTCATGTTGTTTTTTTCTGAGGTTTTTTTTTTTTTCGATTTGTTATTCCACGAGATGTGTTCTAAATTATGGTCGGAATTTGTGTAAGGCGCTCTCGAGTTGTGGACTGAATTCAATTTTTGTGGTTGATTGTCGTCTTTTTGGCTGGGGGATGGGAAGTTGATGCTATAGTTTTACTGGAATTAGCTGAACTTTGGCACTGTGATGGTGAGAAATGAAGTAAACAATCTTATCATGTTCAGATTTTTTGATTTCTGATTTTCCATTATACAGTGTTCATGTTGTTGATTGTTTGTAGGTTATCTGGATTTTAGGCAAGTGTTGATTATGATAGTTGTAATTGATGAGGATCGAGACTCTCTAAGTCTAAATGAAGTTCTGTTTAGAATTAAGTAACTGTCTGTTTAACATAGGCATGAATTCATAAACCATTTTAGGAGTTGAGATCTGATGAAATCTCTTGGCCTTAATTTCTCCTATCCACCTGAAGTTTCTTCTTCTACTATCTAACTTTGTTTTGTTCCCACTCTTGGAGGCAGAGTGGAGATAACCGGATTAAAGTAGAAGGTAAAAGAATGGTGGATGGATGGATGGAAACTCACCAACATGGTTCACTCTTGAACCAATAGATTTATTTTGATTTCTAGTTCATTGTCATGTCAAATTCTTAGAATTAACAATACAAAAGTAAGGGATTCCAATACTGAATTCAAATACGACTCGAAGTTTCAATATCCTCTTAGAACGTATGTTACTGTTTGAATCTGATACTTTATTGGATTGGATGTGTCAATTCTGACAAATTGTTGATTCAAAATTCTTGAGAGGCAATTGACGTTTTAGTTGCGTGTTTGAAACATCGGCCCTCCATTTCCTCGCTCACCATCTTTGCCAAAATATTGATACTTTCGTTTTTACTTCGGTCCACGATCAATTTTCTGTCCACACATTCTCCATTGACACCATTCTACAACGTGTCCACCTCCTCTGACCAGTAAAAATGTGTTATCTTTTACCATATTTTGTTCGAGAGGATTCGTTCTTATATTACTTTGAAATGACATATTATCGTTCATAGGTATACGATTTGACGTCATATTTGGATGAGCATCCTGGTGGAGATGATGTTATTATAGCTGCAACTGGTATGGTATGCTTGTACTTTGTGATGTATTCTTCTCTCACAAATCTGAACACTGCATTTTTTTGTCCCATCAAAGGCAGAGATGCCACAGATGATTTTGAAGATGCTGGTCATAGCAAAGATACTCGAGAGCTGATGAAGAAGTTCTATATCGGCGAGCTTGATCCTTCTTCCTCAGCGATCCCAGCACTCGAAACAAAAGAACCAGATGGTTATGCAGCTCAGGTTCAGACCTTGACAAAGCAATACTGGGGGATTCCTATTGCAGTACTTGGTATTTCTGTAGTACTTGGCTGGTTATACTTGCTGAAAAAGTGATTGCAATGCCATTTGAAGGCTGTTGGCTTGTTGAGTTGAGGGATTTAGGTCACATTTTTGCTGCTTAGAAAACCTTATTTGTTTCAAAATCTTCGTACAATGATTTGTAGGTTATTTGTTCGAGAAGAGAGATTTTTTCTTGTTAGCCGGTGGATTTGTGTATTTATTTCCATTGTTTCATTGGACGTGACCATGTAGCTTCTTTCAGCTCAATAGGGCGATGACATCTCGAGGTAATGTTATCAGGTAACTTTTTAGAACCGACAGTTTCGTCTTTTGACATGTCGCTTCTGCTACTATGTGTTACTGCCACCACTGCCTATACCTAGAGAGTTGGCGATGTTTCTCAGTTGCTAGTTGCATATAGTTGTCGTCGAGGTGGAAGGGAACGAGGAACAATCTTCTTTCCAATGTTCCAGATCTACAATAGGACTCGACCCTCTTCATTTGCTCGTCTAGACATGAACATTCTTGTTCCTTTTGTAACATGGGCGTTCGATTTTTTATGGATTTGGGCGATAGGAATGACGAAAATGACGAGTTTACAATTAATCTCCCTAATCTAACTAGAAACATTCTTCATTCCACAGGAGAATAGAACTGAACACATTAAAAAATGTCACATCAATTTGTCTAATTAAGTTACTTCCACATTATTGTTTTTAATGGTTAAAGATTGAAACGAAACCTCCAAGTGTCGGAGGACCAAGGCTAGGGGCATAGGAGCCGACTCGGCTCCGCGTCAAAACGCAACAAACCCAATATTAGGCCCATACTGTCTCATACGGCCCAAAAACGCAACAAACCCAATAGGCCCAAGAGCCCAATATTAGGCCCATACTGTCTCATACGGCCCAAGAACGCAACAAACCCAATAGGCCCAAAAACAAGAACAAAAAGCGATCAAGTACAGAGAAGAAATAGGCGTCGACGAAGCAGAAGAATCCTGAAGAAAAGAGCATAAACGCCTCTAATGGCGCAGGCTGTTCAGAAAAATACTCTGTACGTTGGTGGTTTGGCGGAGGAGGTGAACGAGTCTATTCTACACGCAGCCTTCATTCCCTTCGGCGACATCAAAGATGTAAAGACTCCACTGGATCAAGCCACTCAGAAGCACCGTTCCTTCGGCTTCGTCACTTTCTTGGAGAAGGAAGATGCATCCGCCGCCATGGATAATATGGACGGTGCTGAGCTCTACGGCCGTGTCCTCACTGTCAACTATGCCCTCCCCGAGCGTATTAAGGGTGGTGAACAAGGATGGGCTGCCCAACCTAGTAAGTTCCCCTTTTCCTTAAACCCTAATTATTTTCATCTATTGTTTCTCTGCATTTGTGGAATTCCGTTTGTGTTACATCTCATTGTTGATTGATAAATTCTTAGGTGTGCTCGGTTACCAATTTTGCTCTAACTTCATGCTTATGATAGGAGTCCTTGAAAATAGAAATAGAATTTATGCAATCTATTTGGTTGCATTGCATACAATAGTGGTTCGTTGGTTATATTCTCAATCTTCAATTTCATTCTTACAATTTCAAATGTTTTGTTAGTGCAATAAAAAGTTTCAGACTGGCTGATTTCTTATTTGATTTCAAATCAAATACATGTATCTTAAAGCAGAAGTTCGGATACAATACAGAAGTTTAAACAAAGACTGAAAATGATTTATATGCAAAACTCTGTGAAGGACCCGAAGCTAACAATTTAAAAAGTAAACTAAAATTTGGTTCATGTGGAAGTTCTGGACCAAAATTAGATTTAAACAGCTTATCATTTTCTGGTCCCGAAGTTTAAACCTTAGAACAAGATTTGGAAATTATTTTAAGATTTGGACTCTGTCATTTTAGGATTTATTTAGATTATGTTTATGTATCTATATCTCCTGCCTTGGTTGCTAATTACAAGTATTGCAATCTATGGAATTAGCTTGCTGATAGTTTCCTCCATTCCTGCCGATATGAACCTAGCTTAGTAGTTAAAGCATCTATGAAGTTTGAGGTTCAAATTCTCGCAGCTTGTCGTATAAAACAAAAATATGTTCCATCTCCTTGACTGTTCTTTGATTTCTATTTCCCCTCAATGTTCTTGTGGGCTCCTGTATCATCACTACTTGTTCTGCATCTTTTGTGAGCTTAGAATTGAGTGATTAAAGCTTTACTGCACGTCTATTACCGAGTGGCTGGCACTTATGAGAAATTGACTGGTGTAGAGGCCTACTAACTTGAAATTAGCAGCCTCGTTCAGTTCCCATGGATAGTTGTATACTTTGTCTTTCATCATTCCCTTTCCATTTCACTGGACGTTTTTGTATGATTGAAATGTGATGCATTGCAATAGTGATCTTGCAAATGGGTCTGAGTGAGTGATTTTCCCCCTCTTCTTGTCCTAATTGTTACTAAACAAACGCCTTCCTTTAAATTATAGTTTGGGCGGATGCGGATACGTGGTTTGAAAGGCAGCAACAAGAGGAGGAAATGCAGCGGATTCAGGCTGAGAATCGCGCAACTATGCAGGCTGCTGAGGAGCTGCACAGAAAGAAAGTAGCCCAAGAGCGGGAAGGGGAAAAAGAAGACGAGGTAGACACGAAGGACGATCCCATGGCTAAGGCTGAAGCCGAGGCATTAAGACAGAACAGTTAAAGAGACAAACTTTAGTGAGATTTGAACTTGCTTCAATGCAAGTGAAAGAGAGAGATAGAGAGGCAGAACATGGAAAAACCTGCCGTGCTCTGAGCTTGCTATTGCTATTCACAATGCTGATGCATGTTAAGCTTCCGCATTGTTTTGTTTCTGTAGTTAATTCTATTCACAAAGCATAGTTTGAAAAGCTGAAAAACGCTTACCTTCGTTGAAAACTTGTAATTTTATTGAAAGAAGAGCTAGAAATCAGGAGTTTTTAATGCGCAGCATTGTTGTTTTAATTCCCCAATTGGTTTCTTTTAGGGTTGATCCTGGAAGACTCTTCTTTCTTTCAAGATTGAAGAGTTAAGTTTGTCTCAAGGTCGTACATCTTCAACCATGTGATGTCGTGATCTTGACACACGTATGATTAACCTTGAGAGGAATTCAAGTCCAATATTCATTTTTCGCTTAAATTTGTGACTTCGTTGGACTGTCAGCAAAGTTTGCTTTCGTCTTCCAAACATCGCTTGTGTGAAATCTAAGCTTGTTTGGGTACACATGTCGTTTTTGCTTGCATGTTCAATCGTTGCGACACAACGTCGCATCTCATTGTCATCTCAATTTCCAACAACACGATCCATGCATTGTGGTGTCATCTCATGTCTCAAGACACATCGACTATCTAGGCTTGTTTGGACACATTCGTTGGGAATGTATCGACCATCTCATTGAGACATCCTGAACATCCATCCATCCGGGTTCACTCGAGTGATGGACTCTCTCGTGTTCATGTCAAACCACTTACGACATACGTTTCAGATAATGGGTGCATAATCCAATTTCTGTACATGGGCTTAGGCGCAATACTGGCATTAAAAGACCTTTTTAAGGAAGACACCCGAGACTGCTTGTCCCATGACGCTCGCCCACATTGTGATGCATGCATGTGCCACGAGGTAGCTTACTTAGGCCATAGGGCTTAGGGGTGGTGGATACCATGCCTCCGCGTATAGTACTTGTTGAGACATTTTCAATCCTTCTCAGGTAGACGTCATTTTGGCAAACGTACATACAACCTTGTGCATAGTCCGTCGAATACCCATTTGACTCCAAATTTGGATCTGACTCGCAACTGTCCTGTTGCATTCATGACACACTTGCAAAGTTTTCATTCAACCCTCCGTTTTTCTATCTTGTCCAACTTAGACACACAAAGTGTGACTCTGATACCAACTGTCATGGTTATACTTTTTCAACCGTGCGGTGTCGTGACCTTGACACACTCACGACCAGCCTTAAGAAAAACTCAAGCCCTATATTCATTTTTCGTCAGACCTTAAGCAAGGTTTATCTTCAACAACCAAACATCGCTCGTGGCCACATACACCGCCTGCGCATGCATGTCAATCATCTGCGACACAACCAATTTGGCTCTATACTAAACCAAGTCATTATTCTCAACCTTGCCTCTACTCAAGGTAAAGGTCTCCAATGCGTCACATCTCATATTGTCATCTTGTTCCCCCAATTAACATGACCCTCATATGCCATCCCAAATCACAGGGTGTCGTCGACCATCATAGCTTACTCAGCCATGTCATTGAGAACAAACCAACATGTCATTCATAATATCAAAACATCCCGAACATCCATCCATCCATCCAAGTTCTTATCAAGACATTGACTCTCTCGTACCCATGTCATGCAATTTACAAATACCGTACCAAATAGCAGATACAAAATCCAACCTCCAACACACGAGCAGGAGTACAATACCGAACAAGACAGATGTGCCGACATTGCAAAAAAATCTCACAATAACATTTACGACGAATAATCTCACTTTTAGTACCACGACTATAGAACAAAACCACACGACTAGTATGAGAGAGAAAAGAAAAGTGTTCGGAGGAGCAAAGAATAAAATCAGATTATGTCCGAAAGCATTAAACTTAAGTAGTAATGTTATTTTCTTTAATTCCAAATCTTTCAATACCGAATTCAGACAAAGAATCATCAAAAGCTAATTAAACAATAACCAATCAATTTAATTTACGAAAAACAAAATTTAATAATCTCAAATAGTTTGGAATATTCGATGCCCAATAAACACAAAAAAAAAAAAAAAAAAAAAAAAAAAAAAAAAAAAAAAAAAAAAAAAAAAAAAAAAAAAAAAAAAAAAAAAAAAAACACCCTTTAATATATATTTGTTTTTATATTTATAAATAAAATGAGCCGCCGGCAGCAATTAAACATGGTTTAGTTCTTCCCAAGATATGATTCTTGCTCCTAATTGAAACCCTAATTAATAATTATTAAAAAAAAAAATTATAATCTTTGTACCTTTATTTATATTATTATTATTTTATAAATTTATTATTGGCTTGTTTCCTTTTATGATATGGGTTACAACGAGATTCTTTGGTTCGTGGTTTTAAAAAAAAAAAAGTATGTCGTATTTATCATATCTTTTTATCCAATGATTTTTTTTTTTTTTTATTTTGTCGAACCAATTAATTATTCTTTCATCATACTGTCCTCTTTGAGTTTTCCCTCTCTCAAATCCACCGCTACCAGACATATTAGATATTGTCATCTTTGGGCTTTCTCTTTCGAACTTCCTTTTAGATATTGACCTCTTTGGACTTTCCCTTTCTCAGATCC